TCGGCAAACTTTTTCTGCCAAGGTACATACAGTAGTCATTTCTAGTTGTGTTCAGATTTTGACTTTATTTCTAAAAATTGGGAAACATCAGAATTTTCACCGTTAGTCAGTTTGAAGGTTCTTTATCTCATGAAGTCTATATTCTGAGGGTGGGAGACAGGAGACAAAGAATGCTGTGTGCCACCGAGTTGGAATCTACTCAAAGCTGATCTCCAGCAGTTTGTCAAAGGCAGTAAATTGCATGAGAGATTATCCATCCTTCTCCGGCAGAGCAACTGGTGGATTCGAATCACGTGCCTTTGGGTTTGCAAGACAGCTGGCTTCTTATCACTAGGCCATCAGACCTTCCTCACCACAGAGTAGAAATTGTTTATTCATATAGGGTAATCAGGATTGGTGGAAGATTCATCAACAACCTGCCTTATGCAGATGACACAACTCTGCTTGCTGAAACTGAGGAGGACCTGAAGCTCGCCCTACAAAGGTCAAGGACTGCAGCCATCAATATGGATTGAAGCTCAACATCAAGAAAACAAACACAGATTCTCAACACTGGGCCAATTGGCAGCATCAGGATGGTTGGTGAAGAGATTGTGATAGTTAACAGTTTTAGTTTACTTGGCTCCACAGTCAACACTCTTGGTAGCAGCAGCCAGGAAATCAAGAGACAAATTGCACTGGGAAAGTCAGCTGTGAGGACCTCTCAAGAGTACTGAAGAGCAACAATGTCAGGCTGGAGACGAAGGTGCGCCTGATCCAGGCTATGGTCTTCTCAATCACTTGTTATGTATTGGAGAGTTTTGGACAGTGACTAGGGATGATAGAAAGAGAATTGATGCCTTTGAGCTGTGGTGCTGGAGAAGAGTGTTGAATATACCATGGACTGCTAGGAGAACAAACAGGTTTGTCCTGGAGAGGGTGAAGCTGGAATGCTCCTTGGAGTCAAGGATTCTGAAGCTTCACCTGACATACTTTGGGCACGTTGCAAGGAGGAAGTGGTCCTTGGAGAGGGACATCATGTTTGGCAGAGTGGAGGGACAGCGCAGGAGAGGAAGACCCTCGATGAGATGGACTGATTCTGTGATTGGGGTGGTGAGGAGTGTGTTTGAGACAGCGAGGCTGGCACAGGATAGAATGGCGTTTAGGGCTCTTGTACATAGGGTCTCTACGAGTTGCAAGTGACTCGAAGGCACATAACAACAACAATAGGGTCATCTGACAGAGTTTCCTAAAAAAGTGGGAATTTTGTTTTGTTTTTAACAAAAACTTGAAGTGAGAGAATGTTATTTGGGAGGACAGTCTTTTAGGGACAAGAGCACCAACTTTCTGAGCTTGTATGTAGTGCAGGGTGGCTGGGGTAGAGCAAATAAGTAGAAAATGGTAGGAGGTAAAGGACAGAGGGCAGATCATGTAGACCTCGGCCACCGGTGACTCAGATTCATGCTGAGGCAAAGGAGACACCAGTGAAAAGTTCTAAGTGGAGGTGTGTACTGGTGTGTTGTGGTGTGCTGTGATCGGATGTGTTTCAAGAATCACAGATTTTAAGAGGTAAGGATGAAAATTCAAGGGAGAGGTTATTATAATAATCCAGGTGAGACAAGAGAGTGGTATGGGCCTGGGTGGAATAAATTAGTGAGACACCTTCAATTCTGCTATATTTTGAAGGTAGAACTTGTAGGATTCTTTTTTTTGTTTGTTTGTTTTGTTTTTTTAACAGATGTATGTGGGACATTTGATAATGATGAAGTTTTGTTAGAAACTTTTTAAAAAAGACAATCAGTCAGATTTTATAGTGTGCTTTGCTTTTAGATGATGATATTTTCTGGATTGCATAACAAAATAATATACAATTTTACTTAGGAAAAAATATGTATTTAATATATTTTGATTATAAAAGTATACATGCACATTATAGAAAAGACATTATAGTACAGAATAAACATAAAAAAGAAAATGAAAAAGTCATAATTCCCTATCATTTGTCAACCTTCACATTCAGCTCCATTTCCTTTTTTTCTCCCCATGAATACTCATTGTCAATGCAATATCCTTTTCGTACAACTGGGACCACTCATTATAGCTTCTCCCCTTCCCCAATATCACTTTTTTACTGAAAAGAAAGGATTCTATGATATGATTATTTCTCTTTACTCTTATTATTCATCAATTCTTAATGTTTTCTTAAAAGTCTATCATATATGGGCAGAAGGAGGGGTGAGTAAAGGAAAGGGGAAAGATCCGGTGTACAAAACTATGTATACAAACTTTTTAAGTAGACCAGTAAAATAAAAGTATTATTTTCTTAAAAAAGTCTATCATATGGGTATACTGTCATCCACTGAACCACTCTTTCATGGTGGACATCTGACTTTTCTCCAAGCTTCTGAATATATTAGGTACGTATATAACTCTATAAGGGTGACTGACTCTCCAACAAAGATCTTTGTATGCATCCCTGGTAAATTCTTTTGGGGAAATTACCAGAAATAACAATTCGGCAACATTGTACACAATTCTAAATCTTTACTTTTTAACTCAATATGCTACCACCTTTTTTTGGAAAGAAATGCATATTTCCAAGGGCAGTGTATAAGAATGTTTGGTCCACATTACTACTCACTCTATCACTTAATACTGCCTTAAAAAATATTACATATATTTTTTTCCTTACATGTTTGTTAGTTAGGCTGTGATTTTATTATTATTATCATTACTGCTACTAGTAGTGAAATCATATTTTATTTTCATGGTTCTTGATAGTATTTTCCTTATGATTATATATTGCCTGTATTTCTATCTAGAGTGATTAACTATTTTTTTTAAAATTACTCACAAGAGACCATACATAGGTTTATTTTACAAATTCATTGCTGTTGCTTTAAGCCTTTCTTAATTAACAACAGCATAGACATTCTTCTTCCAACTTCATAAGCCAAAAAAAATCCCCAAACTAACAGAACTCACGTTATCTATGGATAAGGCAAGTATTACAACTAGAAAAAGTAACCAGTTCTATCCTTAGAGGAGGTCTGGTGGCAGAGTGCACTGTATTGTACTACTAACTGAAAAGTTAATGGTTCAAATCTATCAGCTGCTCTAAGACAGAAAGATGGGCCTCTCCTCCTGTTAAGATTCACAGCCTCACAAACCGGGAGGGTTGCTATGAGTCAGACATGGCTTAATGGCAGTGGACTTGGTTTTTGGGCTTTACCCTGAAACAAGCCTGGAGATGCCTCTTTCACGGAGCGCTGGCGGCACACTAATTAATGGTTCCGTTGCTAACAGAAAGGTTGGAATGAACCCACCTTCCAGCAGCTTCATCTGTTTCTGCAAATATTACAGCATTGGAAAGCATACAGGGCAGTTCCTGACGGCAACTAACAACAACGTTCCAAAGAGAGAAGTTAACTGGAAAGGAGATGTTAAGTCCTTGCACAGTGGCCGCTCCAATCCAAATGCAAAGTCCACTATTTCCTCAGTAACCCAGGAGTATTTCTTCTGTTTTGATTCTGGTTTTTTACTTGAACATTGTCTTACTCTTTCTTGAAAGCTCAACTGTGAAAAAGACAGATGATGCCAGGAATGGGAGTGGGAGGGCAGTATCCTCCTATAATGTAATTTACTTTAATATGCCACATCTTTGTGTACCTTTAAAGGCAACATGTATTGGACTGAAAACCTAAGACAGGCTGCTCAAGTTCATCATCTGCTTCTCTTCTCGGACAAAGATGCACCGTTTCCGCCTGTGAATGTGACAGCCTGGGAAACCTGATGAATGGCCACTGAGTGGAATCTGGTTTTGACTGGATGGTAGGGGGTTCTGGTTGGGTTGTACACCTTTTGTGTTGAGGCATTAGGATGTTGGGAAGTTCTTTTTACAAAAAAAATCTTTGGCTTGGATTTATTTTCGTTCGCATCCATATTATACTCTTCATAGGAATGCAAACTGCCTATCACAGATGTTAAAACAATTGGGTGTTTGATGACTCTACAAGTGCAGTTTCTACACTGGGTGTGGTATATAGTGTGCACAATTAATTCACTTCCTTGGCATACTCAAGTCACTTAAGATGGACGCTTTGATAGGAGCAGATCTTCTGTGCTGCCAAAAAACATAGCTGAGGATTTATTTTATTTTTTTTCCCTCTCTCTCTCTTTCCAATCCATAGCACTTGACTATCAGACACTGGCAGAAGCTACAATTTCTTCAGCTAGCAAAGATGCTTTCCAAAATCTTCTGGCAGAATCTCCTGGAAATTTGTTTTTTCTGCTTCTTCCTAATTTAGAAAGCAAATTCAAAGAAAAGGAAAAAAAAAACAACACAACATACCCACTAAACTAACTTGATAAAATTCACATGAAAGGGAAGCAACTCTGATGTAGTTTTGCATTCATGGAAAGTCTGAGGGTTCTCTTTTCTACAACACTGGACTAGATCTCTTTCTGGAGGGAGGAAATGAAATAAAAATGCGTTGTCTCTCAAAATCGGATGGTTCTTTATTCTATGAAAGCTGCAAACATGGGGTAAAAGTTCAAAATTTTATTAAAATCATTTGTAAGTTAAATTAACAATATTTCTGTGGTGAAGGGTGACTTTTCAACAGAACATGACAAGTGAATAAACAGAAGGAGGAAAAGTCTTAACTGTGATATTTAAATGGTTACATGATTTTAATTATTCTTTGGATAATAAGCTGCTTTGTGATGTCTATTCAAGGAACTAAAGCCTATGCCTACTATGGAATTTGCAGGTGAATTAGAGCTTTGTTTCCTGCCTCTGACAATTTTAAGGAAACAATTGGAAATGGCTTTAAGAACTTATAAAAATCTACCACCTACCAAACAAGTTTAAAAGGTACAGTGGTGAGCACTAGAAAGAGGAGCGTGGAAAGGGTGAAGCATGTGTGCGCACACACACGTGGTACTGACTTGTGACACAGAGCGAGGGAAGCCAGGAGCCAAAGAGAGAGAAGGGCCCAGAGCCCAGTCCATGCGAAGCCCTATTTGTTCTTGGCTGCCAGGGGTTTCCGGCTGATCTTCTTTGATTTGTCATTATTCTTCTTTGGTGGTTCTGGGTTTGCCTGCATGTGTCGGCCATAGAGGCTAAAAAAGAAAAAAAAAAGAGAGAGAGAGAAGAAATCATGAGCTCTTCAACTAAAACAAGATAAGCTTCTATTGGTAGAGCTCTAAACAATGTACCAATCTCCAGAAATACTCGATAAGCCAAGAAACACACAAAAGGTCTCTTCTCTTTTCTCTAAGTCATACAGTGCAGTTAAGAACACGGACTTTTTTTCTCTTTCTCTCACACACACACATGCACACAGCATGTCGTGACGACCAATTCTGGACAAGTCTCCCGGAATTTCACACTCACTGGACAGGGTGTGAAAACAGCAAAGGAAGAGAGATCATTGTGATTGTAAGAACTGGTAATGCTCAGCCCAGCTGTTACAGGCTGCAGCTCGCTGCGTGTTTAAGGCAGCAATGACAAAAATCGGGTTGCACTGCAGAGATGGAGTGTCCGTTTAGTGAAAAGTGAGCATCGTGCCTGGCCCGAAAGCCCAGGGGCTGGATAATGTGACAAAGAGCAATGGTGTCACAGTCTGCTCCGGCTGCTCACACATGATTGATGATGCTGCGATGGCTACAACACATCACTGCCACATTAATAAGTACCGCTGATTAAATGTTGACAAAGTACCCTCCAATTACAGTGGCTGGCATTCGGAGCAAAGCTAAGCATGCTCCATGGCTGAGAGGATTTAACTGAACATCAGATAGTAATTAATTGATAATTTATGAGTAATTCTGATTAAACTAAATTAAAAGCCACACGAAAGTAAACACAGCTCAACCTTAGCTCTCCTTGTGCTGTAATTGTGTCTCTGCGAGAGGCCCATGGGGGTCTTGGTATCTCTACAGCACAGCAGTTATCCGACTCTGTGTTGCAGATGTCTTGTACAAACTGAACGAATGTTGACACAAAGATTAATTTCACTGTACAAGGTACCCCTTGTTACTAATCTCCCCTCTCAAGGAATTAACACCCTTTTTTGGTGCCCCTGGTTAAACTGGCAGTCACACATAGTGAGGCATTCTTTTATATCTACCATTGTTCTTGGTAACGTGGAAACTGTGGTTCACAGACTAAGCTGAAGGTCTGGTACATCGGAACTGTCTGACTGACAGACAGGGAAAGCTGCACACTAGGGCTTGATTTGAGAGGTCAAACCGTACTGTATGTTCTCCAGTCTGCCAAGTGTCTCCTCAGAAGCTACACTGGCAACTTCAACCAACAACAATAGGTCTCTGTGCCCAACCACCACCTGCCTGTTTGTTGGATTATGGTGGCCTGCCTGTGACTATGATGCTGGAAGCAATGCCACTGACATTTCAAAGACCAGCAGAATCACTCTATGGTGGACAGGTTTCAGTGTGACTTCTGGACTGAGAAAAATTAGGAAGTAAAGCCTAGAGATTTACTTTCAAGAATTAGCCGATGGAAACCTTACAGATCACAACAGATGTTGTCTAATATGAGCTTAGAGTCAGACGGACTGACACTGGCGGCACAATTACTGGGAGGCTGATGCAAGACTGGGGGGTTGGGTTCCTTCTGTTGTACGGAGGGTCTGTCTGAGTCCGAGCTGACTTGGTGGTACCTGACAACAGGCTGAGAGATGAACTCGCTGGGTCAGGAGGCACTACACACCTGCCACAACAATGGACGCAAACATTGCATTGATCATGGGAAGGTGAAGGACCAAGCCCCACGTTGTTTTGTTACACACAAAGGTTATCAGGACTTAGGGTCAACTTGCTGGCAACCAAGAGCAAAAGCTGAGTTCAGTTTATAATCCACGATTAGGGTTGGGCTAGAGATGGCCAGAAAACGGCAAGTGCCATCAGGTGAAGGGGAAGGGCATTCTCTTATATCAAGGAGGAATACGATAATCTAGATAAATGACACTACAGTCTGCAAGGTCTCTAAACTTCTACAGGCACTCAGGTGACTGGAGGATTCCTGCTTGCCTGGCAGTCCCTGACAGTGCCCTAATGGGGCTATGTGCTCCTTGGGCTTCTTCCTCCAAGAGAACAAGCAACCCAGAGAAACAGAAGTTTAAATCCTCACATGATCCCCTGCCCCACAAGGTATAAGGGATCATATATGCTTCCAAAGTCTATGCTTTCCTTTGATCTTTTGTCTGGGGGGGGGTGGTCCCAGGTAAAGAACTATTGTTCAAGCCTGTAGAGGAGTTCTGCAAGTCCAACTTTACGGCTGTAGACTTGTATCCCATGCACACCTCTCCTCCTGCATCTCTCCCAGATTCAACAACAAGGAGATGCATCTGTCATAAACCTCTCCTTAGCCCACCCAGTGTCAAACACACTTCTAATAACCCACAACGTTCCCCTCCTCCTGGACTCCCTCCCTTTCTTGGTGGCTTTGTTCCGCACACTGTTATAGGCAGGGAACTCCTGGTTCCCACACTCCTCTCACCTGGAAGAAAGAAAAGGTCTTCATATCCACTCTTTGCATTCACAAAGCGGCCTAGATTTTCAGTTACACAATATAGCGTCATGTACTTTTCCTTTATTTTCCAAGTGGTTGGCAGAAATGGTTTACACTTGTTTACACTGGTTTAAATGTTGGTACTTCAAAGCCAAGGTGTGTCAAACAGCAGAACGGGCTGGTGGTCTACTTCTGTAAAGATCACAGCCAAGAAAATTCTATGGAGCAGGTCTACCCTGTGGCATACAGGGTCCCCACGACTCGAGGGCAATGGGTCCTCTCCCCAAGGTAAAGAAAGAAATACAAGTTCTTATCCAAAAGTAACAACTACAAGGACAATAAGAAATACTACTGCACAGTTCATATATATGGAAAATAAACTATGGAGTCTTGCATGACTTACATGCTAGAAAAGTGGTACTGACAAAAATAAGAGATCAGTACTATGTGTAGAAATGTACAAAGAGGGAAGGGGCAGAGGTAGGGGGGCTGAGGGGTGGGGGGAATCTCAGGGATGCAGTTTGGTGGGTGGAGGGAGGAGGTTTGGGAAAGATCCAGTGGGGATCTAAACAGACAGGCTAACAGAGGACATAGGTCACGGGTGGTTACATTTATAAGGCACACTGTAAGGGGATGATCATATGAAGAACTGTGAATGAAGAAACGTGTGAAACACAATGGATGTGAATGAAACACAATGAATACAAATTCTGTATGCAAAACAATATGAAATAAAAATAATTGTAAAAAGAGGGAAATAAGAGACCAGAGGAAGGTGAAGAAAAGTAACATTTGATCTAAAGAACTACTAGTTGTTCTGTTCTGATTAGATGAAAGCTGAGGGAGTCAAGGAGGGGTTCACAAGAGGTAGGTATTTATCTGAGTTCTGATGGCATTCATTCAGGGAAGTCACCTCAGAAGAGGGGGCAAAATCTAGCTGGAACTCAACAGGACTCCTCACCTTTGAATAAATAGGGCATTCTAATGTTTCAAGTCCCATGTTTTCATGTCTAGACCCCACTCCTGGAGGCCTGGACTTCCTGGGACTACACAGCAAATCATCACAAAGGGCCAATGTGAGACAGCTCTGAACCGGAGGTCTCAATTCTGCTTTTGCCACTTACTAGCTGGTGCCTTTGGGCAAATGATTAGCAACCCTCACAACACTAAGCCTTGGTTTCTTCATCTGTAAAATAAGGTTGGCATTTCTTCCTTGCAGGGGGCTTGTGTGGTTAAATAAGGCCAGCAGCACAGCGAGCTGATAGAAGAGGCCAACGGATGCTTGCTGAAAGACAGGACTCATATGGGCTTAGAGTCAGAGTGATTATAAATAAAGATCACTATATAATTACCTTCCTTCTTATAGGGGTGGGTTGTTGAGTTCTTTTTTTTCTTCTTCTGAAAAATAACATAGTATTTTCTATCAACACTAATATTTCCAAACATCTCTGTAAGAAAGGTTTGGATCCTCTTTGAAGAAAGCAAACAAGGCCGAGCTAAACGCACTGGCCCACTTCCTCGGTGAGTCAGCGGCAGTGCGGGGATGCTGCTGGCCTCCGCTGTGCAGTCCTTTCAACTCCTCCAGCTGTGTGGGCAGGAGCGTCGGCACAGCGCTGAGCGGCTATTCCCATCTGGAGACGTGAGGGTGGCCTGGCAGAAGGCAGCAGCCCTGAGAGTCCAAAGTCTACCAGTCATTAGCTCTAGGGCTTTTTCCTAGCAAGTGGTTGACTGAATAATAATAATGGCCCCCAATGATGTTCATGTCCTAAGCCCCATACCCTGTGAACACATTTCCTTACAAGGCCACAGGCACTCTACCGCTGTGCTTAGATTAAGGATCTGAACAGGATGGGGAGGATCAGCCTGGATTCTCCAGGAAGCTTCAAGGGAATCATGAGCATCTTCATAAAAGGAGGCAGAGGTGTGAGAGTCAGAGAGGGGTTTGAAAATGATGGACTGCTAGATCTGAGGATGGAAAACAAACCACAGCCAAGGAAGCGCGCAGGCCCCAGGAGCTGGAAAGACCAGGAAATGGATCCCCTTGACTCCCATCCTCAGAACTTCCCGCAGAATGCAGTCCTGGTGACAACTTGTGTTGGGGTTTCTGATGTGCAGAACTGGAGGATACAGTGATGTGTGTGAAGCCGCCAGCCGCTGAGCTTGGGATGAAACGCACCAGCAGCAGAGAAGGGACACAAGAAGTGAGCCTCTGTGGGCCCGACAGGTCAGCTCACCAGTGAGCATCAGCTTCACATCAGCAGAAAACCAGTTTCTGGGGCAGCAACTCACTGAAAAGAAGGAAATAAAGCACAGTGTGTCCCTAAAGGTAAACTGGGGTGTCAGTTCTAACAAAAGCAGCAAGCCTCAGCAGGCAGTCTGTCCACAGCCCTTGGTCTGCGGGCTCCCATGACATGCCCTCCTTCCCTTCGCGCCTTACCGAACACAGCACCTCTCCATCTGCCTGCTCTTCTCCACCTCATCCCCTGGGCCCTGGCACAATTGGCCCTTCACAGGCAGCATGTCCCTTCTGTGCTAGCACTCTGCTCAGGCGTTACCGAGCCTGTGGTATCCTGCATGGTGGACCCCT